GACAGTGGAGAAGCGGGCAAGGACAGGACCCCCAGAGGGGTCCGCCAGGGAGACCGCAACTGGCCGACCAAGCGGCGTAAGCGTGGTGCGGTCTCGAAAGAAGGAGTGAGAAGCACCCGAGTCAAGGGTGAAGGTGTGTACGGCCTGAGCCGACGTGGTACCTGAGAGAGCAGACTCACCAGTACCTGGGGCAGCAGACGCACTAGCACCTAGAGCAGCAGCCTCACCAGCATCTAGAGCAGCAGCGTCAATGCCCGGGTCAGGCGGGACACACAGGTAAGAGTCACCCTCATCACTAGTAGACACAACATACATGGCAGCAAGAATGGCATCATAATCCAGATCAAAGATAGCAACCCCCGACCTAAGCAGCTCACCCCAGCGGGGGATCTCAGTGGCGTCAGGGAACAGGAGATGCCAAGCGTTCGTCCGGCGGCCGAAGCAACGCTGGGTGGTGTGCGGGCCACCGCACTGCTCACCAGTGCGGTCGCCGGTACGCAGTACGTAGCCACAAGGACCAGCACCCCCACCCCGCTGACGCGCAGCGTACCACTCAAGAAGCTGCTGGGGGGGCGGGATGTCACGAGTGCGCTGCTGCTGCTGGCGCTGACCACCACCGAAACCGCTCCGCTGCACAGAGCCACCCTAACCAGCTCCACCTCCGCCGCCACCGCCTCCTCCTCCGCTCCCACCACCACCGCCGCCGCCGCCACCGAAGCCCCCACCCCCGCCACCACTCCCACCGCCACCCCCACTCCCTCCGCCACCTCCACCGCCACCTCCACCGCCCCCACCAGCCCCTCCTGCTCCCTTGCCCCCCTTGCCCTTGCCGGTGCGGCGTCTCCCGCTAGGGGCAGACGCAGCGCCGACCGACTCGGTGCCAACGAAGTCGACGGCAGCACCAGAGGCAACAAAGGGCAAAAGGGGGGAGGGGGGGCACCCCTCAAAGAAGGGGGCACGAGGGTCACCACGAGAGGCTCCTACAGTGACTATACTCTTCTCAGCTGCCAGGAGGCACTCCTCGAGGAGGTCAACGGTGAGTGTGGTGGGGCAAACAGAGAGGAAGTGGTCACTGACCGAGCGAAGGGAGTCAGGGAGCCGGGTGACTATGTAGTAGAGGGTGATGTACATGGGGGGTGGGGGTTCTTGGCGCAGAACTCAGCAGGAAGCGCAGCGCGGTAGCGGGTATCACTAGTGCAAAGGTGCGTAATGAGGTCAGCGACAGTGGGAAAGGCGTTGAGGTCAGGGAACAGGTACGGCAGCATGAGGCGGCTAAGGGCAGCAGTGGCAGGGGAAGAGTAGCGTGCAACTACAGCGTCGTACAAGGTCTTAGCACTCTTGTACTGACTAAAGTGCGCGCGCTCAGTGGACGGCAGGTGACTACGCACAGCAAGACGTGCAGCAGCATCGCGTGTGGCCCACTGTGAGCGAACAGTGCTGTCAGCATCGGCAGCAGAGGCACCAGAGGCGCCAGACGTGGGCCTGCAAAGTCGATTTTCGGTGGGCCCTAGGAAACGTTCCCACTAGGGAACCTGCTCTATACCATGTGAAAGAACGAGTACAAGTAGGAAAACCTAAAAGTGTTGTACCCCTTATTGTCTACCCCACTACAGCCTACACAGACTATAGCATATCAGTTTGACACTTGTGACCCCTTGTTCTCCCCCAGTTTGCCTACCGGGGTGTGTCTAACTTTTATATAATTGTGTAGGCTGTAGTGGGATAGCCCATATGGGGTACAACCCAAATTTGGGTTAGTACTTGTATCACTTTCTTACTAACTGCAATCATTCCTGCTCGTTAGATTCTGACATAGATCACGCCTACGATCACCTCAGGAAGGTTCGCAGAAACAAATTGTTGCAGCTGAAGCCTTGTGACATTAGGTCAGAGTGAATATAAAGTGATCGAGATAATAGAAAAATGCAAATACATTTGTATAAATAAGAGTACAGGGGAATACAAAACGACCTGGGCTAGCCGTGTACTCTAAGGGGTACATTCCCTTATAACAGCAAAAACTGCGCGACTCCAGACGGCTGCAAGCTGTTATGGCAGAATCCTCGCCACTGCTGCTTCTTGATGCTGTCTGCCCTGACGGTCCAGATGCTTCTTAACCGTACGCGACTCTAAGCATCAATTCGTCTCTTCGTCTTCATACTCCTTTCTGTGTGAGTCGCTTTGCTGCTGTGAGGAGTGCAGAGTGCCTTTCATAATTTACTGTTTGTTACAAAAACCGCTCAATGCATACACCGTATGGGGAGGGTATTGGTGTTGTTTACGAATTTTATTTTTATTCTTGATTAAAAATAAATATGAAAAAAATGGCCAAATTGATCGTAAAGGGTTGCTTCGCCACCTCGCCATACCCGCTTGTCATTTGCAAATCAAATTCTATTCAAAATACTGTGCATAGACTGGTTGTAGACGCTCGATCCCAGCTCGTCATCTTGTTCCAACCTAGGCAAATCCGAGGCGAATGCTTCCAAAAGCACGGACTGGACCTGTGTGGCATCTTATGCGTCGCCAAGGGCGGTGACCGGCGCGGAAATTTCTTCGCCAGCTGGGTCGACCCTGTGAGTGTGCCCGCGATACACGGCGCCTGTAGGTTCAACCCAAGCTGAAGAACACTTGTCTAGAATCTGTGCGTAACATATCTGGCAGGCTGAACCATATTCCAAACCATATTCCAAATCATGCCAACCACCCTCAACCGTGCTGTACTACTCAGAGGGTTTAATTATGAACAAAGAGGAAATGGGAGGATGAAACCAGGCCATTCTCGAACTTCCTACTGAGGTGCAGAGACTTCTTGACCCACCTCCCGCTTCCTACGGCATGTTCTGGTTCGATTGTGCGGCACGAAGTTTGCCCTTCTGTTCTGTTCCGATTTCTGAGAGCCGACGCGGCTTCCAGCGGTCGTCACGGCGCGATGGAGCGCGCAACCGTTCAGCTCGTCATGTTTCTCATGCTGACGTGTCTCTCGGTCTCTCGCGTCGACTGCGTTCCCTTTCCAAATTCTCAAGGTGTGTTCTCGATGCGCAGCGTGCATCAGCGCTGCTTGTTTCCCTGGCAGGCTTCTTGCTTCGAAAAAACTTGTCTAGCACCGCCGTTATCCCATATGCTCCGTAACCTGTCCCTTCATCGGTACATTGGTGGCCCCCAAAGCTGGGACGAATTGCCCGGCCCGTTCCTTGGACCTGCTTCCGTCGCACCTTCATTAGCTAAGTCGACCACGTCGTCAGCTTACAGCTTTGACCTCTACCCTTTTCATCCCAGAACCCTTATGGCGCCACTGAAAGGATGTGCGGTAGCAGGGTAGCAAAATAGCCAGGGTCCGTTGTAATCTTGGGGGCCAGTAAACGAGGTACTCCAAGCGCACACAGAAGTTGGGCTAGCCATGGTCTACTAGTAGTGTAACGTAGGTCGAAGACAAAGTTTCAGAAATGTAGCAGAAAAGGGGATAGTGGGTGGCGCAGAGGATGAGAACGTGGTTAGGCAGGCGAACTTTTGGGAGAGGAGAAGTGGGAGAGGAGAGGTGGGAGAGGAGAGTTCCGTCACGTGCCTTTTCTGTGCATGTCTTCTACAGTATTCCAGCTAGGTCCGTGCCGAACCAGTGCTGGAGCAATTCGCCCTGTTCGCCCGGTTTGACGCCATGAACTGAGAGGCGTACCCAGTCCGGCCTGCGTAGAAGCGAACGAGGCTTGACCTGGCGAATGGAGTCGGTGGGCCACCCAGGACATTCGCAACAGATCCCGGGCTGCGCGAGGGTCCCTTCAGGGCTGCACGACTATAAGCTAAAGCTCATTTCTTGGTCAGCCTAGTCCCTAGCCCCATCCCCATCAACCTACTATGTGTTCCACGTCTGGCTTCCAATAGCTCGCTGAGCAAAACCATTCAAAATGCGAGATACGTGTGGATATGTTTGCCAAGTGCGAGGCTCTTGTGATCCATATGATGGCTTAAGTGGGCACGGACCGGCCCCGATCTGGCCTGCCTCGAGTCGCCTGAGGTTTTACTCAAACCTCAAACGGCACGGGTGAACCCGGTTGAACTTGGGCCCATGACCGCCCAGCAGCCCTACTTGGGGTAGGGTGTATGACGGTTGTGACCCGACCTCGGGTCGGGTGATCAGACCCGACCATTATTTTGCATCTTTTTCTTGTATCTGAAACAACCAGATCAACATACATGCTAGTCCCACAACCAAGATGCACACCATAACCGTCACCACAAAAGGAGAACCACGGACAATCCCGAGAGATGCGTCAAAACACAAAATCAGGTGGGCAGAGCATGGAGTAGGTGGGTGGGTGGGTGGGGCGCGGATGATATTTTGGGGTCGAGCGTACGAGGATGGGCGTGTGTATGTGGTGGGTGGGTTGGGGACCAGGTGGGACGGGTGCAAATCAGGAGGGTGGGTCATGCGCATGAGGAGGGCACGGGTAGCAGGTGTGTGGGGCGTGCAAAGCACCCGGTTTGCCCGCACCTAGCTTGTAGGGTGGGGCTCGCGAATCTGCTAGGGTGTCGTGTGCATAGCAGGTAGGGCATGCAAGGCAGGCAGTGCGCGGAGCATGAACCTGGAGTGTTCACATCAGATAAATAAATTGGACAACAGTAGTTACAGGTGGCCTTTGATGAATCTAATCATGCCTTTGTAAGGACGTGGCATCACGAGGCGTCCAGAGCTGTGATCGGTCGTAGCTGAGAGGTTCCACAGGGACGATGCCGCCAGCCAGGGACGATGCCGCCATGGCTCAACGAGAAGAGTGGGCCAAAGTAGTCGTCGGTAGGTGGGGCGTGTCTAGCTGGTACTAGCGGGTTCCGTTGGTGTTTCTCCAGTATGCAGGTAATAATACCCAAGACATAGGCAGGTCGCGTCAAAATGGGGTTGCAATGTGGAACCCCACTTCCTGACAGCGCGGGTCGGCTCCCTCTCGTCAGTCGCGTCGGGGGTGTCGGGCTGGGGGTGTCCCTGGGTGGGCCCCACCCCATCGCTCATGCGACCCGACCCGGCCTTACAACCGGCTGGTCGGGTCGGGTTGAGTTCACCTAACTATCCCTCTAGTGCGGGAGACATCGTGCCGTGGCGCCGGAACAGAGAAACCGTGCAACCAAGTGGGGTACTTGGGACGAAACAATTGTGCGGCGTTGCCTTAGTGTTTGATTTTTGTGAATGTTCTTTTGACTGTACGTGATGGAGGTTTCGTTGAGACACTGTCTCGTTGCTTCGGATCGGCCATGTCTCAGCCCGGATCGACCATGTCTCAGCGCAGATCGGCCATGTCTCAGCGCGGATCGGCCATGTCTCAGCGCGGATCGGCCATGTCTCAGCGCGGATCGGCCATGTCTCAGCGCGGATTGGCCATGTCTCAGCGCGGATCGGCCATGTCTCAGCGCGGATTGGCCATGTCTCAGCGCGGATTGGCCATGTCTCAGCGTGGATCGGCCATGTCTCAGCACGGATCGGCCATGTCTCAGCGCGGATCAGCCATGTCTCAGCGCGGATCGGCCATGTCTCAGCGCGGATCGGCCATGTCTCAGCGCGGATTGGCCATGTCTCAGCGCGGATTGGCAATGTCTCAGCGCGGATCGGCCATGTCTCAGCGTGGATCGGCCATGTCTCAGCGCGGATCGGCCATGTCTCAGCGCGGATCGGCCATGTCTCAGCGCGGGTCGGCCATGTCTCAGCGCGGATCGGCCATGTCTCAGCGCGGATTGGCCATGTCTCAGCGCGGATTGGCCATGTCTCAGCGCAGATTGGCCATGTCTCAGCGCGGATCGGCCATATCTCAGCGCGGATCGGCCATGTCTCAGCGCGGATCAGCCATGTCTCAGCGCGGATTGGCCATGTCTCAGCGCGGATTGGCCATGTCTTAGTGCGGATCGGCCATGTCTCTGCGCGGATCGGCCATGTCTCAGCGCGGATTATACATGGGCAAACGAGTCGAGTTTTTCCTCGACTCGTTCGAGGGACTCGAAAAGCTCGCGTTTCGAGTTTGTTTTTTTGTAAAAAAAACTCGGTTGCTCGAGTCGAGTTTTGCTCGCGAGTTAAAAAAACTCGTGAAAAACTCGGCTACCAAGCAAGTTTTTTCAAAACTCGCAAGTGTTTGGGGCTCGTGAGCATTTTGCCACCAGATCCGCCCGCGCCTAGCATTCCGCCGATAGATCCGCCCGCACCTAGCATTCCGCCGCCAGATCCAGCCGCCCCTAGCATTCCGCCACCAGATCCGGCCCCAACTAGCATTCCGCCGCCAGATCCGCCCGCACATAGCATTCTGCCGCTAGATCCGCCCGCACCTAGCACTCCGCCGCCAGATCTGAACGCACATAGCATTCCGCCGCCAGATCCGCCCGCACCTAGCATTCCGCCGCCAGATCCGCCCGCACATAGCATTCCGCCGCTAGATCCGCCCGCACCTAGCATTCCGCCGCCATATCTGCCCGCACCTAGCATTCTGTCAGAACATTATAGCTCATGCATATTGTGTAGGCTATAGTGGGGTAGGCCATAAGGGGTACAACCCAATTAGGGTTAGTACTTGTACCGAATTCATTCATAGTTCATTCATTCTCGTTTCTTCTCATGGTATCGAGCAGGTTCCCTAACGGGAACGATTCCTAGGGCCCACCACTACGAAATTTTTTTCCTGCCCGGAGCGCGCTTCGCTTAGGCCCGAGTCGCGCCTCGTGTGCTTTCCTTACCGTCGCGCCCTCGCTAGGCCCCTCACGGCCCCGTCGCGTCGCCCTTAGCGGCCCCTCGCGGCCTCGTCGCGCTGCCCTAGCGGTCGCGTCGCGCCGCCCTACCGGCTGCGTCGCGCCGCCCTAGCCGCTCTCACGGCCCCCTAGCGGCCTCTTGCGGCCCCGATCCGCCGCCCTTGCGGCCCCGATCCGCCGCCCTTCGCGGCCCCTCGCCGCTCTCCTCCTGCGGCTCTGACGCCGCCCTCTTCAGCGGCCTGTCGCCGCCCTTCTCAGCGGCCCGGCCATCTCCTTTCAGCGGCCCCGCCACTACCCCTGAAGCGGCCTCGTCGCCGTCCTTTCAGCGGCCCCGCCGCCTCCTTCAAGCGGCCCCGCCGCCTCCTCTCCGCGGCCCCGCCGCCTCCTCTCGGCGGCCCAGCCACCTCCTCTCAGCGGCCCCGGACGTCGCCCTCTCAGCGGCCCTTCCGCCGCCTCCTTTGCGGCCCCGCCGAGCCGCCCAGCAGCAGAGCCGCCGAGCCACCCAGCAGCCGAGCCCCCGAGTCGCCCAGCCACCGAGCCGCCCAGCAGCCGAGCCGCCGAGCCGCCCAGCAGCCGAGCCGCCGAGCCGCCCTGCAGCCGAGCCGCCCAGCAGCCGAGCCGCCGAGCCGCCCAGCAGCCGAGCCGCCGAGCCGCCCAGCAGCCGAGCCGCCGAGCCGCCCAGCAGCCGAGCCGCCGAGCCGCCCAGCTGCCGAGCCGCCTACCGCCCAGCTGCCGAGCCGCCGAGTTGCCCTGCAGCCGAGCCGCCCGAGCCGCCCTGTCTGGTAAGAGCAGCGCCTCTGTCACTGCACTGCTCTCACCCTACTGTTCGCGCTACTAGTCTACTGCTGTCATGGCTACCCCTAGTGTCCTCGCTTTTGACGCTGAGGGTCGGGCCATTGACTTTGACGTCTGGATAGATGACCTGCAGCTTTTCTTACAGTGCGATAGGGCGGACGGTCTCTCTCTCTTTGACCTCACCTCTGGTGCCTCTCCTGCCTCTGCTGCTGATGCTGACGCCACTGTCCGCTCACAGTGGGCCACGCGCGATGCTGCTGCACGTCTTGCTGTGCGTCGCCACCTGCCTACCTCTGAGCGTGCGCACTTTAGCCAGTACAAGAGTGCTCAGACCTTGTACGACGCTGTAGTTGCACGCTACTCCTCCCCTTCCACTGCTGCATTGAGCCGCCTCATGCTACCGTACCTCTTCCCTGACCTTGCAGCCTTTCCCACAGTCGCTGACCTCATTACGCACCTCCGCACTAGTGACACTCGCTACAGCGCTGCGCTTCCTGCTGAGTTCTGCGCCAAGAACCCCCCCCCCATGTACATCATTCTCTACTACATAGTCATCCGCCTCCCTGACTCCCTTCGCGTAGTCAGGGACCACTTTCTCTCAGTCTGTCCCACCACTCTCACTGTTGACCTCCTCGAGAAGGCCCTCCTAGCAGCGGAGAAGAGCATAGTCACTGTAGGAGCCTCTCGTGGTGACCCGCGCATCCCCATCTTTGAGGGGTGTTCTCCCTCCCCCCTTTTGCCCTCTGTTGCCTCTGTTACTGCGGCCGACCTCGTTGGGCTTGAGTCGGTTGGTGCGGCGTCTACCCCTAGTGGGAGAACCGCTCTGGCAAGGGCAAGGGGGGCAGGGGCGCTGGAGGAGCTAGTGGAGGCGGTGGAGGCGGCGGTGGAGGCGGCGGAGGGAGTGGGGGTGGCGGTGGGGGTGGTGGCGGGGGTGGAGGTGTCGGTGGCGGCAGTGGAGACGGAGGCGTCGGCGGTGGCGGTGGGAGCGGAGATGGTGGAGGTGGCGGAGGTGGAGGAGGCGGTGGCGGAGGAGGAGGAGGAGGAGGTCGTGGCTCTTCGCAGAGGAGTGGCTCCGGTGGTGGTCAGCGCCAGTCGGGAGACCCTGTCCCCTCAGCAGCTCCGTGAGTGGTACGCTGCACGCCAGCGGGGAGGGGGTACTGGTCCGTGCACCTACGTCCTGCGCACCGGCCACCGTGCGGGTGAGCAGTGTGGGGGTGAGCACCCCACCCAGCGCTGCTTTGGCCGCCTGACGGATGCTTGGCGTCACCAGTTCCCTGAGGCCACTGAGATCCCTCGCTGGGGCGAGCTGTCTAGGGCAGGGGTAGCTATCTTTGACCTTGACTTTGATGCTATTCTTGCTGCTATGTATACTGTCCCTATTAGTGAGGAGGGTGACTGTTACTGGTGTTTCCCGCCTGACCCGGGCATTGAGCCTGCAACTCTAGGTGTTGGTGAGGCTGCTGCTCTTAGTGCTAGCGAGGCTACTGCTCTAGGTGCTAGTGCGTCTGCTTCCTCCGGTACTGGTGAGTCTGCACTCTCAGGTACTGCGTCAGCTTCGGCCTCCCACACCTTCACACTTGACTCGGGGGCTTCTCGCTCCTTCTTTCAAGACCGCACCACACTCACGTCGCTTGGTCGGCCAGTTGCAGTCTCCCTGGCAGACCCCTCTGGGGGTCCTGTCCTTGCTCACTTCTCCACTGTCCTCCCTTGTTCGGCGGCCCCCTCTGGCACCCTGTCTGGTCTTTACCTCCCCTCGTTCTCTACAAACTTGGTGAGTGGTGCTGACCTACAGGATGCGGGGGTTCACCAGTTCACTCCTGCGAGTCAGCGGGTGACCCACTGCACGGACGCTCGGACAGGCCGACACCTGGCCACGTTTACACGTCGGCCGGGGTCGAGCCTGTACACGCTGACCACTGCGTCTCCTCCAGTCACTGCGTCGGGTCAGGTGCTTGCTGCAGCGTCCAGGTCCGGTCCTGAGTCTGCCCCCTGCTCATGTCGTCTCCTGTCCCACGAGACTCTCCTCTGGCACCACCGCCTTGGTCACCCCTCCCTACTTCGTCTCCGAAGCATGGCCTCCCGTGTCCTTGTCTCTGGTCTTCCCCGGTCCCTCCCCCCCCCTTCCTCCGGGGCCTGGCCCTACCTGCGTCCCCTGTGTCGAGGGGCGGCAGCGGGCTGCCCCTCACTCCTCTCAGTTTCCTCCGACAGAGGCCCCGCTGCAGACGCTTCACATGGACGTGTGGGGCCCGGCCCGCATCCGTGGACAGGGTCACGAGCGCTACTTCCTGCTGGTGGTTGACGACTACTCGCGTTACACCACAGTCTTCCCCTTGTGCAGCAAGGGTGATGTCACTGGGGTGTTGATCGACTGGATCCGCGCAACTTGTCTCCAGCTCAGGCGGAGCTTCGGCTCGGACTTTCCTGTTCTGCGTCTGCACTTTGACAGAGGCGGAGAGTTCTCCTCTGGCCTTCTGCGAGCCTACTGTCGTGCACGAGGAATCCGCCAGACCTTCACGCTTCCGGACGCTCCACAGCAGAATGGGATTGCTGAGCACCGCATTGGCATGGTCATGAACGTCGCCCGTACGTCCATGATGCATGCGGCTGCCCCCCATTTTCTGTGGCCGTTTGCGGTTCGGTACGCGGCGCATCAGATCAACCTTCAGCCTAGGGTCTCCATGCCGGAGACCTCCCCAGCTTTGCTGTGGACGGGGAAGGTTGGCGATGCGTCTGCGTTCCGTGTCTGGGGATCTCGAGCGTTTGTCCGCGACTTGTCTGCGGACAAGCTGTCCCCTCGTGCTGCTCCTTGCGTCTTCCTGGGTTTCCCCCCTGACGCCCCAGGGTGGCAGTTCTACCACCCCACCTCTCGCCGTGTTCTGTCCTCCCAGGACGTCACGTTTGACGAGTCGGTCCCCTACTACCGCCTCTTCCCCTACCGCACTCCGTCCCTCCCCCCGCCACCGCTCTTCCTTGTACCAGGTCCCCCCCCGGTAGACCCCCTCCCCCCTCAGGGTCCTGCCCCTTCAGGTGTGTCCCAGGTAGACGCTGTTGAGCCTGTCGAGGTCGCTAGTGACTCTGGTGCTGCTGAGGGTGCTGAGCCTGGGGGTGCTGACTCTGGGGGTGCTGAGCGTGTGGGTGCTACGCCTGGGGGTGCTGAGCCTGAGGGTACTACGACTGGGGGTGCAGAGCCTGGGGGTGCTGAGTCTGGGGGTGCTTAGCCTGGGGGTGCTACGCCTGGGGGTGCTGAGCCTGGGGGTGCTGAGCCTGGGGGTGCTACGCCTAAAGGTGCTGAGCTTGGGGGTGCGGAGCCTGAGGGAGCTGGGCCTGCTGGTGCTGTGCCTGGCGGTTCTCCGGGTGCTTCTTCTCGC